GCACTGCCAACATCTCCCAAATGACGGCAGTCTAACTGGGATTGCAATGCTAGAAAAGTCTCCATCTCTGGAAAATATCACTCCTACCTATACAAATAACTAATTATCTGCTTTCCCTCTTTGTCTACATGCTGAGGAAGAAAGTAACCAACCAGACTGCTGTAGGAGTCAGATAGATTTCTCTCTCACTGAACTTCTGCCCAGTACTTTATTTGCACAGAAGAAATATGGAAATTGGATATCACAGAGCCTTGATCTGATTTTTTAGCTGTCTTTTTGTTACCTTTTGTCTCATTGCACCAAGAAAGGGAAGAAAAGTGGAATAAAATGGCCCTTCAGATATCATTTAATTCATAGTCCTGCTTTGTTAGGCTTTCAGGACCAGGGAAAGATGTAGACATTCATATGAAGAGAAAATAACAGTAGGGGTTTACCAAGATAACCAACAATTCTAGGACGTTCAGGTCTGCTGCTCTGCTACAAACTTGGCTTTTCTACCAGGAACTTTGTCACTCCATGAAGGGAACCAGCTAATTACATCAGCATTTGGTCTCTCTGCATGTAGCTTTTATTCTGAAGCCCTGAGCTGTTCCATATTTGCAGCTACTGAGCAAAGCATAGAAAACAAGTATATGTATTCAAGGTACTGAAAGGAAATAACTTACAACATGGCTGTTTTTAAGAGAAGAAAAGAAAACCTTCTATCAACAGTGAGTGGATCAACATCTGATGATGGAAGTACTGATTTCTCTCTGTAATGGGAACCACATGCCCATTATCCACATGCCTATTATCGGATAAAGCAACTGTTTCTGTAGACCAAGGCACATGAAAGAATTGTTAGATGATCCATTGTAGCTGTTCAGATGTGTTCTCTTTGCCTACGGAAAGGATAGACCTGCATGAAGGAGAGCACATTTGATACTGCCTTAAATGTAGTCAGAGATGGAGAAACGTCTTTTTTTGAGGGAAAAAAGTGTCCTATAATGTGTAATTCAGTGGTCCCAGTACTCTGAAACAAAAGTGTGATTATTTTCTCCAGATACACTTTTTTTTTTTGGCCCAGGTCTTTTCAGTTACAGTTCCCCAAGGATAGGAGTGCCAGTGTTACTATCAGGCTGATAGCAAAAGCCATAGGCGACTTCAGGATTTCAGTTTTCCTTAAAATTGTATAAAGGGAGTTAACAGGCTCTGTTGGGGAGACATAAAATGTAACTCTGTGATATGAAATGGCTTATGGTGCCCAACAAGAACTATTTGTACTTCACAGCAGAGATATAGCTCAGGTAACACCTTTTCCATGGATTTTCTCCCCAGCTGGATGCAACTGGGAGATTTCTTTTTCCACTTAGCTGGGAAATCTTTCTTGAAAAACAAAGATAAGGTTCCTTCCTTCAAAACTTTACTTACAAAATATGAGCAAGGCAGGGAAATGGGACTGCCCCCCTTTTAAAAGGAGAAATATAAACAGATGAGAATGTAAAAAATACTATTGATGTACTAAGCCTATGAGTTTTCTCAGGTAAAATCAGAAAAACATGAAGATACTCATGAAAATACTGAGCATCATGAAATATCTTGCCAAGGGAAAATGGGTATTTTGAGCCCGTCTTACCAAACAGGCTGGGAACAAGCCTTTAAGTGGCAAGAATAAATGCAACTTCATCCAATTGCTTTACTAGCAAGGAGAATCTTAATCTTTCAAAGTGTCCAAAAAAAAAAAAAAATCCAAGATAAATGCATAAGGCCAGCTATTCTAAAAGGAGTAATGGAAAGTGTGACTCTCAAAATCCTAATGGGTGTTTCTGAGATTTCTACAGTGGCCTATAGATACGTTAGATGAAACAGATTTCATAAAGATTATAGGATTTTATGCTGACTAAAGGAGAGAACTGTTCATAAACAACTCAGTGAATCGTGCAACATATCTTGTGTATCAGCACAACTCATCGTATCAGTAATTAGAGACATACGATTGCATCTAAATCTAAAGATCAGCTGCAAGGGCAGACAATTCAATGCTCCTGCTATCGCTAAAAAAAGCTTGATATATACTATGGAAACCACACTGCAAATAAAGGAATCCAAAAGTACATATGTTCATTTCCATGGAAATGCTATGCGTTTGCATTCTGTTTGAAAGATTAATGGCCTAAGGATTCTTCTAGAAACTGCTTATGTAACTGCAATATTTAAGTCATCCAGAGAGGATGTTGCATTTCAGGGTATGTCATACAAAGCTATTTCAGGTGAATGACAACTTTTAGTTCTGAACCATGTGATCATCAGCCCTCCAGATTTTCAGAATGCAGCTGCTCAGCGTTTTCTAAAAATCAGACCCCCAAGAAGTACCTCAGATTGAGCATTCAGATGTTAGGGTATGGATCATCACCAGAGTTTGAAAACTTGATCCAAGTCCTATCTCTGCCTTCTTCTTAAAATATTACCATGTCTCCATAACCAAAGTATCTCTGTATCTCTAACAGTCCTGTGCTGCAGAGAAGAGCTGTCTCAGCTCCCATCTACAACTGCCAGGAAAACAAAGCACTGATAGTCATGGTGTCTCACCCAGGACGTGAGTAAAAGCCAGACAGGCAAAAGATTGGAGTAAAACATGCTCCCCTCCACCCCCTCAAGCTAAATTAATGTCCTGGTTTCCTTTATATTGTATGCATTTTTTAATAATTACTGAATTCTTCTACGCTGTTCTCCAAAGGTGTAATCTGATTACAGAGTTTCTGTTCAAACTTTCTTGTATTAACTGCAGCTGAAGCCTTGATATCATTGTTCAAATTTATCCATCTGAAAGCTTCAGCTGAGCATTATTATTCTGACAAGAGTTTTTCTAGACGGGGCTGATGCAATTAACTGAAGATGAGAGCCACAAATGAAGGTTTTAATCAAGATTAATACCTGCATTGTTAAAGGTTGACAAGGTGTATGAACATAGTGATATTTTCATCTATTAAATCTTTTGATTCTAAAAAAAGAACCAAGGCTTTGGCCCTACCTCTGTTTTGATTAGTGTGAGAGGGCTTTAATTCAATGGAGCAAGGAGAATATTTCTCAACATTTCTGCCCAAAGACAGGAGGTAAAATTCTACCATCAGAATCCCTGGATGCTCTGCAGAGATCGTGATTCTGCTGAGCACTTGTGTTTAGGGTCTGTGTTTCTGAGGTAACTTGAGTCCCTGAACAGCTGGTTATTAATTACAAGAGAGGGGGGAAGGTCTATGTTCTCCAGCCAGTGGCCAGTGTCAGGAAGGAGCAACTGTTGAGCCAAAATTTCAATTAAAGTACAATCTCCAGGTCTCTTTAGACCATTTCCATCCCTTGTAACTGATAAATGAATTCAGTGATCAATCTCTGAGCTTGATGCTGTTAATCCCCTGCTACCAATATTTTCTAATTGAATAATGGCTTTAAATTGAAAGAGGGCAGATTTAGATTAGATATAAGGAAGAAATTTTTCAGTCTGAGGGTGATGAGGTACTGGAACAGGTTGCCCAGAGAAGTTGTGGATGTTCCATCCCTGGAAGTGTTCAAGGCCAGGTTGGATGAGGCTTTGGGCAACCTGGTGTAGTGGAGGGTTTCCCTGCCCATGGCAGGGTGATTGGAACTGGATGATCTTTGAGGTGCCTTTCAACCCTAACCATTCTATGATTCTATGATTCTATGATTCTATGAATATCAGGTCCTCTTCCTTCACATGTAAGATATCTGCATCTGCTTCCCTTACAGAATCTTCCCATCTATCCTGTTTCAACCTGGCACATCCAGGTGTCTTCTGACAAGCCAAGGTCGCTGTGTAAAAAACATTGGATCAGGGAAAGGATCTGAGGATTGAAGCAAAGTGGAGAGTTGAGCAGACAAATCTCAGACTGAAAGGCAGGAGAGCTGAGAATGTTTTGGAGGGTTGCTAATTTTACTTTCCAAACACATCCAGTAGTTGACTTGAAAATGTCAATACAAACTCTTTGCGTACTGCAGCCTTTAAGATTTCTTCCTCCAAGTTAAAGAACAGACAGAACCCTGCGCTGACGGACAGTTAATAGGAAAAATTTTGGCAGAGAAAAATGGAAAGAAGCAGCTGAGATCAGAGATATGGGTAACAGATTGGGTTTATCTGGCAAGGTTTTGGTAGCAAGGGGGCTACAGGGGTGGCTTCTATGAGAAGAAATCAGAATCTGCCCCTGTGTCGGATGGAGCCAATGCCAGTCAGCTCCAAGACAGACCCACCGCTGACCAAAGCTGAGCCCATCAGTGACAGTGGTAGAACCTCTGTGTTAACATATTTAAGAAAGGGCAAAAAGAACCTGCACAACTGAGGGAGAGGAGAGAGAATATGTAAAATAACTCTGCGGACACCAAGGTCAGTGAAGAAGCTATGGCTGGAGAAAGACTTTCCCGAAAGCTGACCTGCTTTATCAAATTTTTGGACTCATATAGCTTATGCTTTGTTCCTCAGATATTTCCCCCTCTTTGGTGATGTCAAACCAGCCATGGTGTAGCCATACTTCAATGCAGGCATGAAAACCTTTGAAACTGGGGAGAGAAAATAGAGAAAGGGGAACAAGACTGAGCAGCTAGCGACAAGACCATCCAAAACCAGCCATAAATGTTTCTGAGAGCGAGGAGGAAGGACTAAGGTCTTTAATCCTTTTCTCTCTCTCCTTCACAGCCATGTGAATTACTGACTAGAAATTGCAGTCAAGTCACAGCCAGACAGTGGATTGCATTTATGGAATTTAAAAGCATATTCAGTCTCTCTGCCGTACTGCAGGACTTTGCTTTTTGTAGTTTTACAAAGGAACTCAGCACTGAAGTAGCTAACCCCAAATGATTTGGAAAGCATTACATGCACATGAACACACATCATTGCATGCAATTCTATCTCAAGGGTTCACAAAAAAAAAACCATCAACATTGTTTTTAAATCTTCAAGAAGGAAATTTCTGCCAATCTCTATCATTAATTGACATGCTTTTTCTTCTACAGCATTTTTGAGCGGTGGTTAAGAAGACACAGGCCCATGCTAGAAGTTTACCCAGCAGCCAATGCACCCATTGGGCACAATCGAGAAAATTACATGGTCCCCTTTATCCCTCTTTATAGAAATGGAGAATTTTTTAAACCCTCAAGAGAGCTGGGATATGACTATGAGTATCTGCAAGAACCAGGTAAAGTCACTATTTTGGGTAAATGTCAAATTTGTTGCCTATAACCTGGAATATGTCTGTAACATGAAGATATTACAAAAACTCCTTCTTTTACAGATTGTTTCCTGAATATGGTCCCAAATTGTACCTGCTTGTTTTCGTATTTCTGGTCTGATATATAGTCAACACTATACATAAGGAAAGTTCCAACTAAAAATCAGTCACTGTCATCAGTGCCTGTTAAGAGCAGAATTTGACCCAAATGGTCAGTTCATGGTCAGAACTGGAGAGAAAAAGTGCTGGATTTCAAGTCTGCTCTATGCCCAGCTCAGCTGTTACAGTGCAACAAAAATGGAAAGCAGTGGGATTTTTCAATTTCTGGGCGTAGTTTAAAGGAGAGCAGATGCAAAGCTCTCTCTCTGGTTTACAAATGTAATCTGATCTTTTAAATAACCAGAGCAAAATTCATCTCAGTAGCAAAGTCCAGCATAAGGTCTGTGCAGCACTTAACACAGTGATCCATCAACTTTGTGCTTGCCCTATGGTTATTCATACAGAACGCAACCGAATCATTCAAAATGCTCATTTCATTTGATCAAAGGAGTTTTGCACTGTTTAGTGATGGTTTTGACTTGCATTGGCATTCACAGGTAGTTTTGACTTGGGCCTCTTGGTCATCCTCAGGCACAGGGAGAACAGAGGCCCTTGGGGCTGTAGCTGCGGGTGAACCTCAGGTAGATCAGGTCTTGTGCTCAGAATAGTGGACCTCATAGTTTCACTTGAGTAGTATGGGTTTCCTTGTTGTCTAAAGGAAGGGTTAAATTCTATTAAAAATATAACATTGCCTGGAACTGAGGATTGCTCAGATACTTTGACCCAATCCTTTATAACACTGAGACACTGGGATGATCAGACACATTTCTTATGTTCACCACTGCCAAAAGCTGCCTTGGATGCTGGATGCAGTTATTCTTGCAAAGTATTGGCCACTGAACAGGTGGGTTACTGGGCATGTTTCCTTTTCCTGTTTGAGGCAGAAAACTTTCTGTGAACACAGCACTTCAGTTAAAAGGCAATTAAAAGCTAAGATTCCCAAAACTATATAGCAAAAGCACCAGGGACATTTTAATGATGCTAGCATTCGCATAGCTTGCTTTTTCTCTTTATCAAAACAGTATCAGTTCTCAGGGCATCCCTGCTTTCCTGACAGAGTTTGCTTATTAATGGGGGTGTATGGTTTCTGCATATTGATAAACTCTCTCCAATCATGCATTTAGCTTGTTCGTTCACTTCTTAAGTAAAATCTAGCTTGATTCACAGTCACTCAGAAAAAAAAATTAAAGTATTTTATGTGTAATGAAAGGAATCTGCCACTCTCCTATATAATTGTTAAGGTTGTTTTAGTTCTACAACTCCGAGACCAAAGTCAATATTTTTCCTAATGTACTATAAAAAATTTGGTCAATCCCAAGTATTCAGACAGAAAATGCTGCTTCAAAAGTAATCTCAAAATTATTATTTTGGTCTTATTAGTAGTAATTTTGCCTTTTTATTCATCTTGCCATAACCTAACTCCTGATCGAGATCAGAAATATTTATACATAGTTTTTATTTAAGTGACTAGTTTCCTAAAACCACGATTCCTAGAATTGTATCACTAAAAAAAGTGCCAAATACCATGACTTTCAGAAATACTAAGTCCTGAATTGGTACTGCAAAAGGAAGGAAATGGTGAACTATTTACCATTAACAATTCACTTCTGTTACCTCCTGGTCTCTTCCCTTTTCCCAGGGGAGAACATAGCCCTCAGAAAATGAAATTCCTATTAGGAGGAGGTAAGGAAAGTAGTTTCTTAATTATTTTGAAAGATCAACACAAAAGTGAAATTCAACCTCTTTTAGAAAGCCCAGATAATCCTCAGATGTCACTCAACCTCTTGTTAATCTCACTGAGAAGAAGAGAGTTTATGCTATTTCTTATCCAAAGGGAAGAGCTAATTACAAAGGGGAAATGGCTGGAATGTCAAAATGCAGATACAGACTTTTCTCAGTACTCTAGTGTTTAAACTCAGACTTTTCTCCAGATAGGAATGCTGGATTCCTGTTCAGAGGAACAAAGGAGTAAACAGGAACTTGTTGGTAGAGGAGCTGAAGCAGAAAAGCCTGCCAACCCACCCTGAAGGCTCCCCTGTACTCAAGGGAGAAGACAAAGTCTGTGACTGGCAGTGAGGAGTTACTAGACAAATAGCAAAAAGTTACAAAGGAAAAAAAATAATCATAGCAGTGAAGATCTAGGTGGTCGAGAAGAGGCAGCATTTCTGCACATCTTCCAAATGAGGAGGAAAATGGCAGGACAGAGGGATGAGCATGCAAGCCAGGTCTTGCTTGCTTTTAAAGGAAGTAGCATCAAGGGCAGCAGTTCTGAGTTACAGCACCAGCGACTCGGTAGAGATGAAGCAGGACTACACAGAGCATGATGCGGCTGGTTACAAGGAATAAAACTTGGAAGGTATCCAATGACAAAATGGCATTTTAATGCTAAATTATATTGTTGCTGCTCCCCGGAGGAGAAGCTGATGCCTGGAGCCCTGCTTTCCACTGAAAAGCAAATCAGTGTGTGACAGTATGTGGTTATTTTAATTGCAGCTTAATTTATTTTTATATGTATGACAGAAGTGGTCACAAACAGTGTGCGTGGAAATTCATCCCTCAGGAACCAAAGACACATGTCAGAGTCTAGTTACTGGGGAGCTGATCTGAGCAGAAACCAGAGCAGACACCCAGCTTTCCTTGACATGGGAACCGTGAACTGTAAAACTGCCACAACCCGCACGGCTTAGCGAAAACGAACATTTGTGAGCATCAATCAAAAAGATTTGGAAGACTAACGGCACCACCTAGCAATAGCTGTCAAAACAATTTTCTATGGCAAGAGCTATTCCAAGCACTTACATTTCATGGTCTGAGACTGTCTTTTCTTTTTTTTTTTTTTCTTCCAGAAATAGGGACAGATAAATCCGTAGACACAGCCTTGACTTTACCCTCGAAAATCTCCCTCTCTCAGTGGGAACAATTTGATGACCACCATATGCGTACCTAGGTGATTCACATTTTTTTTGAAAAGCAGGCAGCTATCCATTTATAAACCCAGGAATCTAACCATCAGTTGCAATTTTTGGACACTTTAACTAGGAATCTTTGACACTCAGGGCAAAGTAAAGGTTAAAAGTGTTGTGTTTACAACATAGAAGGACAGGTTGCTCGTGGATGTGTTGCAGGAGAAGAGCTCAGATCCAGAGTCTGACTTCAGCTCATTTCTGTTTCTGGATCTTTAGCAATTTGATTGCAAAATCACATCCAAGCAAGCAGAAAATGTGGCAGCTGGGAAACATGGTACCACCATGGAAGGACTCTGCTGAGTCTCCCGACTTAGGAGCTCAAACTGTTGGCCACAATATGAAAGGGCAATGTTATGCATGTAGGAGCCCACGATAAAACAGTGACATGCATAATAAAATGAGGATGCTGGGACAACAGAAAGCAATTAAAGGTGATAATACTTGAGAAATGCTACCTTGGAAAGTGGTTTAAATTTATGAATTAAATAAAAGATCAGAAGAGAGAATTTCGGTCCCTGGGTTTTCTTCAGGCAGAGATGAGGAGGTGTGCATTAAGGTTAATTAACACAGAAGGTGAGAACCAAAGAAAACAGGATGCAAAAATATATTGCTCAGAAGGAACAGTATGAACAGAGATTTGATTATATAATGATGCTTAATGGAAGAACAGAAATATGGATTTTAAAAATTGGACTGTTTTTTTTTCTCTTTTTTCTGGAAGCCATTCAGGGGTAGGAAGCTATTTTTTGATGAGTTATTATTATTAACACCCAAGTTGCATATAGTGGGGCGATATCAGGTATCCTATAGCCAAGTTTCACCTCTTTTTTGAGAAATTTGTATAAGGAAACTATGACAGAACAGTTATGGAATTAAATATTAACTGAGGTTGTAAAAAAAAAAAAACCAAAACAGCTTTGTTCTGTAAATACACCCAGGAATATTTGATTTATATCCTCTCAATACTCCAAAGTAATAGATTTTTGCCAGTGATCCACTCTGCAGATGTGCCATCATTGCCAGGCAGTGGGCAGGACTCCACAGCAACATTACTACACAGAAGTAGCAGGTGGAGAAAACTCTAACCTTAAACTTCAACACTGAAAAATGACTTATAAAGCTGCTGTCAATTGTGTAAAAATGGTCTGATTATCATTGTTTCTAGAGACAGACATGTGAAGAGTGGATCACAGTTTCTTGATTTACCCACTTTGGGCTGAACGCAGAACTGAAAGGGAGAAGCTTGAATTTACAGCAATAGATACTGTAGCTCTACCATAAACATCCCACTACCACCCATTGCACGACATCTCTTGTAGTTCAAAGATAGTGGACTATGGCTGACAGTCGTCTTCAGACTTTCTTTCTATTGTTGTCAGAAGACAACATTACAAAAGACTTTCCAAGCCATAATAATGAGGAGACTGATGAAATCTATGGGAACTGTGACCTTTCCATCACTGCATAGACAAGTGATCTTGCCTTAAGACAAACCGAGGGTCTCTATAACTTGAATCCCTCCCACCTCATCTTCCCAGTTTTGATCGTGGAAGTCTCACTGGTATTTTTTTGGACCACCCAGGGGGACAAAATTAGTGAGCCATACACAGACAAAAAATTGTGGAAACCGAATAGAATGAATTTGTTCGCCAAGATAAGAAAAAAAATTGCAAGCTTGATCTAAAAAGATATGTTTGTGCTGCCTCAAGGTTTGCTTTAAAACCTAATGCCCATTAATTACCCATGTTAGGAGTAGAAAAGTATTGTAAATGGAATAGCAAGACTGAAAACATATCAGTGGGGCATACGGTAATTGATAAAGACAGAAAAATAATTTTGCTTATTTCTTGGCTCGCCAGAGTTTTTATTTCTAATTTGTGGAATTAACCCTGGAAAGACTTCACCATTCTGTAGTTTACAAAGAAGGAATATCTAAAATATACAAATCTTCTTTCAAAAAAAATGTTAAAAATTAAGGGTTTCTTTTCATCCTTGGGATTCATTATATCAGTAATGTAGTTGGACCTTACCACAAAAGGAAGCTCTCAGGATGCCCAATAATAGATTGGTCATAACACATTTCTTTGTCAATCATCATGGAAAGTCCATATTGTTACCCTAAATAGAGGACACGCACATTGCTTCATCTTCGAATTACATTGTTTTGGTTTCCTACCCTCTCAATAACATTCAGCAACCCACACAAAATGAACTGCCAGGTAGTCTAAAATCACATTTAAAAATAATTATCTGATGCGTTAAGAGTAAGAAATTACTTGTTGCTGTTACCTAGAGCTAACAGTTTCTTTGAGAAGAAAGAGTGTGTGAAGAGTTGAATGCTAAGACCATGGCAGAGGTTAATCACTGCTATATTCCTATCAGAAAGAGCAAGATAAGGAGATATTGTTGGTATTAGTCACTAATAGGAGGGTAGATACCAAGCACCAGCCTGACCTGGCTTCCTGTTGCTTTGTCATGAAACTGTTGACTCAAAGAGAAATTTCAATCGATGTTCATGGCAGCTTCCAGGGAGGATTATCATTTGACTCTAAACACTAATATAAAAGGAATGGAACTGGCATCGGTTAATGTCTCCCACAAAGCAGCTATGTGTTGTCGTCCCCCTCCATCACTGCCTTGACACTTTTCCCAGGTAGTCAACAGCAAACACAGTTGCTGCACTCTTGGGTCTTGCACAGTTAGAAATTAAAGCATTATGGTAATGGAATACTTGAAATCCAAGTTTGCATGATTTTGGCTGGGCAACCAATCCAGTCATAGGTTTACTGTTGTGTTAGAGTCATGGATTAACATATAGAGTGTCCTGGGGTGCTTCATCCTCTGACACCCAACAGTTGCCATGGCAACTTTATGATAGCGATGCCAAACACCTTTTGTATGGGAAAAAAGAAACAGGCAGTAGATGCCAGGAGGTGGCTTTTGGCTTTGACCTCGTTACAGAAACTGTACAAACTCAGACTGAAAGCAAAAGAAGGGCATATTTGACTGATTATCAGGATATAATAAAATTGATTAATCCCTTCTGAAAGGACCTGCCATGAAATGCGATGTCTCATAGTCTCAAAGTCATGCTATGTTTTATCAGGACGAAGATAGTTCAAACCTCCAACTAATATTGATGGAGGAGACAGAAGGTTCAAGGACAAAGTTTGAATTTAAGTTATCACTTAGAAAACTTTCAATTCCAGATAAATTTTACAAGGAAGAGAACTTTGTGATAATTCTTTTTTTCCATAACATTAAACCAGTATCAAGTCCCTATTGTGTATCAATTTTCTTTTATCATATGCATACTCCAGATTAAATAACTAAATTGTTTCTAGTGTAGACATGTTTGCAATACAAACACAAAAGAGTTGAGTTAAAAAACATTGGAGACACAAAGTCAATGCACCCTCCACCTCTACATGTATGCGTTATCTCTAATTGCACACTATGTTTTGCCCGGACCCCAACCTCATTCACTACACAGCATAGACAGCATTGATTAAGAACCAGATGTTTGATGCTTTTTATTTATTATTTTCATTTTCTCACTTAAGCAGCGTGTAGCCTAATGTGTGATTTACTGCACACTTTTAGAACACTATCCTGAAATGTTTCCTGTAACATTTTTCTTTGGTGTTCGTCACTATAACAGCTGAGTCCTGAAGAAATATTAATTTATATTCACAATACAAAGGATTCAGTAGATGGTACTGTCCTCATTTGACAGATGAGAAATGAAGGATTAAAGAGATAATGTACCTCACACCCAGAGGTTTGTGGGGTTCACTCTGAAACATCAATAATTATTTTTTTTTTTTAATTTTTAGTGTTATACAGCATTTATAGGTCTAATGTGGTCAGAGGCAGAAGACCGAATAGGTAGACTCTTGCAAATACAATCTCAGAATACAAAGTTGGGTCAACTGGAAAACAAGGACCAGAGAAATAGCAACCCAACTTTCCCCAAAGTGAAGCTAAATTATAGGGAGAAACAAACTATATTCAGCCTAAATTCAGCTTAAATTGGAATTACCTCTCAGAAAGTGGTTCAGACACCAAGTGCTAATGATAGCTTAACCTTAAAGGTTAACCAAAAGCATCTTCTTAGAGCACAATGCACATAACAGCATATGCTCAGAAGTACCATGATCCCAGAAAACATAGGAAATTACGTGGTAACAGTGAAAATGCAAGAAGGCAGGAAGATATTTATAGCCTTTGTGGGGGTATACCACACTAAATATGGGATTGAGTGCATCTAAATCAGTCTAGAGGCATGAATATTACTCAAAAATAAAACACCATAGGGGATCCTAGAGAAGTTGCCCAGAGAGGTGCTTTTTTTTCCCCAATAGCTAGTAATTACAGCTAATAATAGTAATTACAGCTAGCAATTGGGAGATGTGGATTCCAAATCCTCCTTAGCCCAAGGTGACAGGTATTCCCATTTCTCAAATCCAGGCCAACAGGTTGTTGGTTGTACTGTGAAGAGGTCACTTTCCAACCTCTATCACGAACAGAGAGCCCTGTATGGCAGGGTTTTCATAACTCATTGGGCCATAGTGAGAAAACCACAGACACAGACACATTCATACCACAACGCAAGAAGGCAGCTGATTAAGAGCTGCCCTGGATTCACCAAAAAAAGAGGACTCCAATTCTTTCTTTAAGGATTTCTTGTGAGTTATCAGAGAATAGTCTACTGCCTCTCCCCACACAAGAACTATCAAATGAAAAAAGCAGATGGCAGGTTCAAAACTAGTGCAAGGAAGCTTCCTTTTTTTTTCATCCAACATGTAGTTAAGGCAAGGATCTCCTTGCTGCAAGAAGTCAAGATAAAAGTTCAAAAAGCAGCTAGAAAAGCTGATGGAAAGGAAAAAAAAAAAAAGAAACAAAAGCCTGCAATAATTATTATGTACAATGACATCACATTTGTTCAGGAAATCCTTGAGCTGCAAATTGTTGGAGGTTGGGTGAGTATTTTGTGAAAGAATTGAGACAGGCTTGACCTGTTCCTAAACTCTTCCGTGTGCTCTGCTGCAGTTATTGTAGCCAACAGGATGATGAGCTAGTAGGACCTTTGGTCATACTGTATCAAACTTCTTGGGTTATAGTCTTACAGTTTCGACAAAACCATAAAAAGCTCTGTTCCTGCCTTTAATATGAAGATTGAGAAACAGACTATAAGGACTGAAGAGATCTGTTTAAAACTATTTGCGACCTTCAGACAATTTCTACCAACGTAGTTTCTTTTTTTTTTTCAATCAGCCTTCCAGTGTTATCTGTTACACTATCTCTATAAACCGATAGTACAATGCATCGTGTAAAAAGACTTTTTTCTTTTTCTGTTTTTTTTTTTTTCAGCACTTGACTCTTTCCAGGAGTTTTTAATACCCTACCTTGAGCAAGCACGGCAAATCTGGGTTTGGTTGGTTGTAGCAGCTGTGATTGGAGGCATAGTTACCGCTGTGCTCACAGGGCTCATTCTGGCCTGCCGGAAGAAAAGAAGAGGAACCTCTTCAGAGATACAACCATTGCTCATAGAAAGTGAAGATTACAACAATATATCTTATCAGTCCAATTTCTAGAGGCCTTCAGTAACTCAGTGATTTTACTAAGGTGCTAATCAAACATGCAGTGTTTGATTCATGTTTACAAATACCTTGTGGAGGTGTGCTGCATAAGCAGGCTGGACAGTCTTGCTCCCCATGGCTCTTGTAACCTTCAGTGTTGTAATATCTTACCAGAATCAATCCTATGAAAATCTCCCAGATGCAATGTAAGTTGCCACACCAACCAGAGAACACCATGTATTTCCTATGCTTGATTAAATAATGTTCCTATGAAACCAGACTGGTTCATGTGTTGATGGCTTTAATGTACAGTTCTCTGCTCTTTTATTTGCTCTTTTACAACTGCAGGCTCCAATCGTAAACCCAGTCCATGTGATTGTTGCACGGATTTAGGGAGAGATGCCTGACTGCACCATTGGTGTTACATTTACTGCGTTTGAATGTCGGAGCAGAAAGAGCCCTTTAGTCTAGTGAGGAAAATGCACAGCATCTCTGAGCAGAGTGAACAACACAGACGCTTTTTTCTTTTAGGATAGAATTATTTTCCCTTCAGCTCCTGTAATGTCCTGTTTGTCCTTGATTGAATGCTGCCAGCAGCAGAAAGCAGGGTCTCAGAAGCAACTTCTCCCTTGTCTCAAATGCTCCAGTCAGTCTTATTCTATACCATCTTGTGTTTGTATGGAGACCTAAGAGGTTTTTATGAGACGAAATATAGTCTGACCATGACCACCTCTATTCAGTTTGACTTAACGATTGCTCATATTATGATCGACTCTTAGTTGTTCAGTATGCTTATATTCCATACAGGTAATCCATATATAACAAAAGGTGTGGTGGGTTGACTTTGGCTGGCTGCTGGGTGCCCCCCCAGCCATTCTATCACTCTGCTTCTCAGCAGGACAGGCAAGAGAAAACATTATGAAAGGCTCGTGAGTTGAGATAAGGACAGGGACATGACTCAGCAATTACTGTCACGGACAAACAGACTCAACTTGGGGAAATTAATTTAATTTATTGCCGATCAAAAGTCAAATTAGGATAATGAGAGATAAAATCAAAACTTAAACCACCTTCCTCCCACCTCTTCCTTCTTCCCAGGCTCAGCTTCATTCCCGATTTCTCTACCTTCTCCCCTCGAGTGGAACAGGGAATGGGGGTTGTGATCAGTTCATCACACATTGTCTCTGCTGTTCCTTCCTCTTCACACTCTTCCCCTGCTCCAGTGTGGTGTCCTTCCAAAAGGAGACGGTTCTCCACGAACTTCTCCAACATGAGTCCTTTCCAGAGGCTGCAGCTTTTCATGAACTACAGAAATTACAGCTTTCTACAGAGCAGAAGAGACACAAAACAGTAAGGGGCTGGTAGATCTTTTGGGAAGTGTCCATCTAGAGCAGATGCTTCTATAGGAGGTGTCCTTCTGTGATTTTTCACATCAAAGTGTTAGTATCCCTCTCCTGCTGTGGAAATCCTGCTTTCAAGGAGCATATAAGGACATTTGCAGTCTCCCAGCTACCCTTGACTGAACAGTAATAGGCAAAACAGAAACTGGGAATAAAACTACCATTGTATTCCACTAGCAATAGAAGGAAAGGTCTACACCCTCAAATCCCACCATATCCCATCCCCAGGAGATAAGTGACTGACCAGTGCCTGCTGATCTGCTTCACTGCCCTGGTTAAGGAAGGCAAGGGCTACAATTGCCTCCAGCTCAACAAAGCGCAGGCCTTTTGCTGAATGAAGCTCTTCTCCCTTGTGAAAGACTCCAGTCTTAAATCCAAAAGAGCTGTCTCTTTTCCTGAGACTTCTGACATATTATCCGAGATACTAGCAGATGAATGCTCTCCAGTATCTTAGAAAGTATTAAAAGCAAACACAACGCATGGGATTTTAAATGTCTCTTGGCTTTGAGGCACAGGAAGGAGGAAAGGAATTATATCATGATAACATTTCAAGTGGTCAGTTCAGCTGTTTAATTTGTATTTTGTATAACTCAGAACATTCCATTGGTAGACATAAATACTAGCAACAGAGGAAAACCACCCACATTTAAATTTTGAATTCATAAATATTGATTGGTTTCAAAGTCAGAAAAACACAAAGATTTCCACTCAAATTCTACAACTAGTAACTGTTTAATTCCTCTGGACTACTTCTACTAATTAAAATAGGAGAGAAAAAACCTCTGACAGGCACACAGTGAAAAACACCCTTTGTTGCTCAGTGATTCTTCTAAAAATCTCGCTGGCTGTGTTCAGTAACCACGTGTGCCAGGTTTGCATGGTGGGGTTTTGGCAGCAGGGGAGAGGCTGCAGAGATGGCCCCTGTAAGCAGACGCGAGAAGCTTCCCCGGCTCCAAAACCGGTCAGCGCAGTCTCTGGACGAGTCAGACCCCTGTCCCCTCTGGCCAGGGCTGAGCCAGTCAGCACCTCTGCAAATGCCCTATGTAAGAAGGGGACAGAGGAACGCAAATCGAGCTGGACCTGCAGTGAAGAGAGGGGGGTGGTAGGGGCTGACCCCCTGGGCTCCCAGGCGAGCAGCTGTCTGTGCTGGGCCACTTCCACCTCACTGGAGATGGCCACGGCAGCGTGGCTGGAAGTGCTCCTCAGTGTCCAGCTCCCAGAGTGTCCACTGGAGCGGGAGGAGGTGCCAGAGCTGAGATTCCCCTGCAGCCCATGGTGAGTGGTCCCACTGCTGCCAGTGGAGATTCATAATGGAGCAGAGACTCACCCGCAGCCCGTGGAGAACCCCACGCTATAGCAGAGATGTCTGTGCTTAAGGGAGTTCTTAGAAGACTGTTTCTGTGGGAAGGAACCTCCACGCTGCTGGAGACTGACAATGGAGCAGAGATGCATCTGCAGTCTGTGGGAAGACATTTTGCGGCGGAGTGGGTGGCCGTGCCCTAAGAAGCTGTGACTCTGTAGGAAAAGCCCGCACTGGAGCAATCTGATGGGTAAGGATTGCATCCTGCAGGAAGGACTCAAGCTGGAGAAGTCTGTGGACTATCCCATGAGGAGGGGATCCATTGAAGCAGGGGAAAAGAGTGTGAGGAGTCCTCCTCCTTTGTCAAAGGAGCGGCAGAAACAACATGGGATGAACTGACCTGCAGCCCCCATTCCCTGTCCCCCTGTGCCTGTGGGG